CAATGGAGGCAACCACTTGGGAAAAAACAAAACACACACGCGCACACACTAAAGGGAAAAAGTCAAGGCTTGCGCCTGTGGGATCCGGCAGAGGCACCCCCCTTGCGGCACAGGCAAACAGTTGCATCGCAGCAAGAAAAACACTCCTTCTGGCCTCCGTAATTGCTCGGGCTCTTGGAGGCCTAAGACTTTAGTTGAAGCACCACCATTGGACCTGTGCTTTATCATTCTGTATCGCGAACACTACTCCTTGTGTTTAACCAGCCAATCCTGAGTTATCTGCTGGTACACGCTGTTCACGCTTGCCTCTGGCTCATCAGGCTGAAGGGACAGGATCAAACACCCACAATGTCATTGAGTGAAGTTGGCAAACGTGACACCCAGAAAGGAAGAGACTCTGAGTCCATAGGAGTTGCTGGGGACTTAACCTTGTGCCGATGTGAAGCCTCAGCCATTGAAGGACAATGCGCAAGAGAATTGCCTGATTTGTCCCACCTCTTCAGCGACGAATGATGCAGATGTTCCAGGCCAAGAGAAGCTTGGAGCTTTTTGCCTGCGCAAAGTACCCTGGCCATGACCACATTATGGTCCACCATGTGCCAGACCTGCCACCGCTATGACCTTCCGGAGAGCTCCGGGAGCTAGTGCGCCTGACGTCGAAACAATATGAAACAATCGCTCAAAGCTCACAGGGTGTGTGTTCTTTGTTTGCAAAAGTATGTCTTTTCAAGTTCACGCCTACTGCCATATCCGTCCAGGTTCTCCTCACAAGATGCAGCCAGAAACAAAAACGTGGAAGCTTTGCTTTTTGCTGTGGAGCTGTCCTCAAGGCCAAGAGCTATTTTCTGTCCTCTTGGCGAGCTGTGCCTGGATGTTCAGAAGCATTGATCTGTGCTGTTTCACTAGACAAGGTGGCGTTCCAGCCTCGCTGAAGCCTGCACTGGGCACAGAGACAAGGAAAGCGTTGCTGTGCCGAAAATGGAACGATGAAGACGCTACTGTATGATACTCGCATCAAGGCTTTTGTTCCCGTCTTTCATCGTTGAGTGTTTCCTCGTTGAGTCGTGAACATGTGTCCAAGAGAGAAATACTCCTAACAATAGAAGTTGCTGTCTGTGCCTGTACCGTGCTTGTCGGTGGGCTACTATGCCTGCAGAATCATTTCCAAAAATGCGAAGCTCTCGCTCCTCCATCTATATAATATCTAATATCTAATATATATATATATATGTCATATCTATATAATATATACATCATCGAACTTGTGAGGTCATTGGTATGCGGTCAGCATGCGGAGGAGTACAAGTTGCCACTACTCCCGTGCCTTGCAGTCTGCCATGCAAATGCCTGCAGGAACAAGTGGAAAAAGAAGAATCAAACACAGCTGAGTTTGGCTTGGCAATCTGTTTTGGACCTCGCCAGCTGGCCGTGACCATCCGGCCTACCAAAAGTCTGAGCCTATTGATCCATCTGAGATATTTCATGCGATCTTGTTGAGGTCTGCATGACTCGTTGGAGTACGTGAGATCATGGGCTCTCACCAGCCTCAGTGTGTCTCCGCCCAGCCTGAGCAAGCTGCATGTGTTTCTGCGCAAAAAGCTGGTCTGGGACGCATTGAGCCGCCCACTGGATCCCCCCAAGCTGAAGCTTGCGAGTGTCTGTTGGCCAATGGACTTGAATGCCTGGATCCAAAAGATGTGACTTCCACATGAAAGTGGACCATCATGCAGCCTGCCTGGAAGCAGATGAAAGGGCCTGTGAATATTAAAAAGTTCATGCATCGCGCTGCAATTGTGGTTTCCTCTTGACACGAGCAAGTCAACTCTATGCACCCTCTCTTAACGCATCTGCGGTGTGTGATAAATCCCAAGTCCTACTCTTCAGAAAGCACATGTACATGAATGAACGTCTGTCCCATCGGCCTCATGAACTTGAAAAGTTGCCGAATTGCGCGGGCTTCCTCCTTGACTGGACCTTTGAACAACATCAAGTGGCTCAAATGAAAAGTCTAGCTCCTGCGAACGCCCTTCAATACCCCATCTCCTGCTCTCAGTGCCACACCCTTGCAGAACCTTCACACATCAAACGTTTCAGACAAATTGATGATGCCCACTCCTCGTCAACGTTTCATGTCTCAAGCGTGTCCGCCTGCACCAGCGGTTCAGCCGTGATGGCCTTTGGTCTGTGGGGGCCATCTGGTTTATGCTCCCCCTTTAAAGGGAGCCGTACCTTCCGTTCTTCATCTCTTGTTTCTTCCTTTCGCCAAGCTTGTATTGGTTTCGGACCGAAAAGCCGCTGTCTCGGGACAGCCTACAAAGAACTGACTTTTGTCCAAGTTTGTGCAGACAAAAGAATGGACATAACCATCTTTGCCTCGGTTGCTGAGCCTCAGTGCACAGGCATCTCTACCCTGACTGCATATTATATACAGGTGTGGAATCACATAAGCTCCATACGTGGAAGGTTTCAGCACCATCTCTCATGTAAGAAACCGACGCCTAAAACAAAAGCGAGAATCGAACAGTAACACGTTCGCCAGTGTCTGATCTGGATATGAAGCAAGAATGGACAAGTTCAGTGAACATGTCCTTCTAAGCAGGGTGTCCAAGTTCTAGGGCATTTGATCATTGAAGTTTCGGTGCACTTATGGTTGTTCGCAGAACATGTGAAAAACTAGCGCTATCGCACAATGTGCGTGGAATGCAACGAATTAGCGAGAAAAGGGAACAGCCTGGGCTGGCTATTGTGTGAGATTGCGTGGTGTGTGAGTTTGCCGTATGGTCTGGCCTGGCGCAAATCACGCAAGCCACCTGGTGGTGCGCTGTTTCGCACTTGCAAGCCACTGTGATGTGGCCCACCCTCCGGCCTATGCCAGGGCTCGGGTCTCAAGTCTGGATGGCTCTGAGTAGGATTAAGCAAAGTCCATTTCCATTCATCGTGGTTTTGGGAGGAAACAAGCTGACAATACATGACAATACCACCTGGAAATGCAGAACAAAATGCTGGCGCCTGTCTGCTGATAGTGGCTCACTCCATCTCTCGGACACAACTGCACGCAGGTCCTCACGCAGCTTTGCCTGTGCTGCAGCGCGTTCAGAGGCCAGATTTTGGTAACCACTCTCGTCCAAAAGCGAGGCTCTTCTTGAGGTCCTCCTTGCTCCAAGGCTGCTTGGTCTTCGGTCACCGAGTTTCTGCACATGTAATCCTGGTAGGTCTGAAAGATGCTGTCTCACTGGCTCAGATGCCTGGGAGATGCTGTCGTTGATTCTGCTACGGCTGTTCCTAAGGTCATCTTTGGGCAGGTATCCAGCGGTGTTGAGCCACCCTTCCAAGGCCTTTGGCATGGGCAAGGTCATAATGCACTCAGAGAACTGTTGTATCTCTTACATCAAATTCCGGAAATCAGTCAGTTCGACACAGTGATGGTCGCACGCACCAGATATATATATATATAGTTAATTGTACAAGTACATGTGCAGGCCTCCACATGCGATGGCCTCCAACCAAAAGGTTAAGTTCCCCAAAATCTAGGAACCAAATCATTAGTGCGAGCGCTATCCTGCGTCCTAGGTAGTAGCTACTTAAGCTACTAGCTATATACCTAGTTTCTACTACCTCTTCACGGCCTACCCCCCCAATTTTAAAAAAATAGAAGTGCTTATCAAAGAAATTGACATGTCCGTTGTCCCCCACCTCTTTCTCAGCCTGAAGCCACGCCAAACGACCCAAGGCCGCTTCTGCGAAGGTATTATGGGCGGGGCTTGCAACGCTCGCACTCACCTGGGGCAGACTAAGACTCGGCAAATAACACGCCTTTTACACTGAAACCGATCCAAGATCTTGTCAATTCTTTTGATCTAAAGAGTCTTTCCTTTCAAATCAAGCCTGGCTATTGCTGAGACCAAAGGTGCTCATCCATGGAGGCATCACTGGCATAGCAAGCGAATCTGAGGCTGCGATCCTGAAATTGCATTACAGTAGTGCACCAAGGCAGCTAAACTTCCAATAGACATCTCTGCTCTCTGCAGAGAAGGGTTGGGGCTTAGACAAACATGGATGGAATAAGAAAGATTAAGAACAAAATAGTGGCATGCTGGCCTCTCTGAGTAAATGCTGGCACTGCCTGGAATCTGACGCCTTGGGCTTGCAAGCGAGGATGGCGGGCCCTTCAGACTTCGCAGCACGGACCGCACGGAGGGATTCCGTTCTTCAGAAAGCCCAAGATCCTCCCTCAATGACTGCGTTTCCCGCCACACAGCAATCCCATCATGGTGTGGTTCACCTTCATAGCGTGGAGACTGAGGTCTTGAAGAAGCTGAAGTTGACCGCTTTGTTTCGTTTGAGGGAGAAGCTTGAGATAAACGAGGAGAAGCTTGAGCAGTGGGACCCATTGGACCTGTGGCGATCAACTCTTTCCAAGCACCCTTGGCACCGGTCTCGCTATGAGTCTTTCTGTGCTCGCTAGAGGCTCGCAAGGGAAGAACTTGTGTGTGTAGGCGAGGTCGGCCATGGTGAGTTACTGCACGGCTCTCACTGTTCTCACCGTGTGGACCTCGTGCAGCAGCTTTTTCGTAGCTCACGCGTCCGTTCAATAGTCGCCCGGCATCAGCACCACCAAGTGCCCAGGCCGTCCATGTCAGCCCAGGCCGCTCTGCAACCATTGGTAGGTGCAACGGATGCTGATTCCAAGGATTCAGTGTGAGTTCTGGGGCAATCTGTAAATGGTGTGTAACCCCTTTTCGCAAGTTGATTCTTTTGCCCGAACAACAACATGAGTGTGTGATGTGTGTGTGTGTTAACTAATTGTAGCAGCATGTAATCAATCTCAAGTGACAGGGTCAGCAGCACTCGCTAATTAGCCAATAGCTGCAAATGAATGGCTGTCCCACGCTGAAGTTGAGGTGGATGAAACGGTTACAGTTACAGTATCTGCATTGTGTGCCACCGGGTTATACAAAAAATAGTATAATACATGTGCACTGTGCAAGTACTGCTGGCACCTTTCGGGGAAATTTCTCTTCACGTGGCACTGCCTAAGACAGCTCCGCAGAGACTATGTACATTGCATAGTGTGAGGTTTGAGGTCCCAACCAGTAGAAAATCCATTCCTCAGACTTTTTAATCTCAGCTTACAAAGTGCATCAAGCACACGCCACACCGCACCTGTGAACTTCCCCAGCTTGGACACCTGGCAGAAAAGGATGAAAAAAGGTTGAAGCTGCACGTTCACGGACGTCAAAGCCACGCAAATCTTTCAGGAAGTGCTCAGGGCAGTCCGTTGATTCTCCGTGTCTATTGTCTGCCAAGAAGCCACATCATGATTTTGAGCTGCAAGTTCTCGCCTCATGAGCAGCTTCAACAAATTGCCATTGTCCACGACCCGTAGCTTGAACATTCCACGAGGCTCCAACGTTGGGCACAAACACATGCCTTGCGGGCACCGTTGCCGTGCATCACAGGAGATGAGCATCTGGCCAGCATAAGACACGTATGATTCGGTGAGAGAGTTTAAGCAGTTCGTAATGTTCAGAACATGCGCAAAGATCCTGGAGAACACATGTCAGGATTGCGGCCAATGCAAATGCTGCAGTTTTTCCTGAGCCATTCCGTGCCTGCAAATGCAAAGTGTATCTCAATGCACACTGGTCCCAATTCGGGCCTGTCCGATGATGTTGCCGCCTTTGAGCGCAATAGGCAGCGTCCATTCCTGTGAAGAAAGCCGCAAAACTGCAGAACCAAGCAGAACAACAACACATCTTGACGAAGCGGGTCCTGGATTTTGGAAGGCTTTACAAAGCCCATTTCAAATATGCCGTCCAAGATTTCCTCCAAACTTGACTGCTAAATCCCCTGTTGTCCTGAGGAAAACTTCGTTGGACAGTCCTTCGGCAAGTTGAGCTCATCCCAGGAGGAAACAGCCAAGTATTCGGCCGTAGGATCCTGTCAATATCTCGCGCTGCCGCTTCTCATCGTTCTGAACCCGCAAAGGTCGGTTGGACCAGAAGGCGACAGCAACTTGAGCACCCTGATCTTGACTCAGTCTTCACACTCCCTCAGGTCCTTTTACACCTCAATGCCTCATCACCGATCCTCTCCCATCTTTGAGTCATAGTCCCTTTTCCCTTGCGAATTGAGACCTCATCTTGTTGTGAATATTGGCCAACCAGGCTCAGGTCACGGGGCTCAGGATTGCAGGCACCAACGCTTAGCATCAGGGCTGCACGGCCAGGAGACTTCAAAGCTTCGAGGCCCGAGGACTCAAGGGATACCACTGTTCTACCAGAGCTCCAAGGTGTCTGAAAGACATAATATATAGTTGCCTAAAACGTCTTCAGGAGCCTGTGAGCCATGACGCGATCGGGCTTGATTGAATCAGTTTTTGCACGATGTTTTTCTCTTGCACGCCGGCGTCGTGGCATCAAGGCCCAGGTAGGCAGGTATCCTTTACCCGGACCGATGAAATAGAAGCAGGAGAAACGAAATAGATGTTTTTGTTTTGTGCAACTTGAATCTCAACCACTTGCACACATTCATGAAAAGGATGTCAACATGTGTTCAGTTTCTGCGACGGCAATGGATCACGAGATGGATCTGTAGCAGCCGCTTTGGTGACGCTGCGTCGGCGCATGGATGCGGGAACTCCGTTTCTGCAACTTGGCGTTGCGAGCAGTTGTTTAAGGTAGCAGATGCTACGCGATGGATGGGGCGGGGTGGGCTGGGCTGGGCTGGGGTGGGGTGGGGTGGGGTGGGGTGGGGTGGGGTGGGGTGGGGTGGGGTGCTATTGACATGTGCTCTTACATGGAGACTTTTAATGGCGACAAAAGTCGTATGTGCAAGCCTCGACACCACACTTTGTTTCATTTGATCTGAGGAAGCTAGTCTCTCACAGTCCTTCTAGGCCATCTACTTCAGCCCCTGCAACGCCTCCGCAACGACGGCCAATACTGGCCACTTGATGTCTTAAGTTCTCTTTTCCCAAACTTTTTTCATTCTCCCCTGTAGTGTGGACGTTGCACGCTATCCGCATGATGGTCGTGGAATTGCTATGAAGGACTTTTGCAGTGTTCAAGGGTTGGCATTTGCTTTTGTTCCACGTCTCGTTGAAAGAAGAATAGCCTAGGAACATGCTTGCAACGATGACACGGAAACCACATTCAGGAACCATTGTCTCCTTGCTCTTGGGAAGATCAACATGACTACGACTACGATCAACCTTTGACTCCTTTGAGTCGTGATCTTCTACGCGGACAAATGCAGCGCAAACGAGAATTGGAAGATTCCTCATTGCAGATTTCAGTTGTTTATTCTTTTTTGGTTGCAGACCTTGCCATGCTAACTTTTCCAAAAGAAGAAGGGCCTCATTCTGCGGACGGGTTTTTTTGAACTTAATCAACTGCAGGAAATGGAGTCCGAAGCGGACCTGTTCCAAGATGATCCTTGCAGCCAAACCTGCTTTGTATGCTGACGGGGCGCTCTCGTGGCAGAAAATTGCCAAAGACTTGAAGGTGCCGATAGTGCAAGTCAGCCATCAGAGAAAAGTTTTTGCTAAGCAGGTGTGGGCTCCACGCTAAGCTGTGTTGAAGTTAAGAGTGTACCAATGGCTGTGGCGCCGAAACCTGAAGGTTACCACAGATCTCACACCTGATGAGATGCTGAAGCAGCTAGCTGCTGCCTGCAAATTGCGCTGAAAGAGAAAGTGTGCGTCGTCGGATGTCGAAGTCATTAGTTTCGGACGACCCCAGTTTCACAGTTTTTTCAATTTTGATCGGAATTCCAAGGCGTTTTTGCCGACCAT